CGTCTCCTTTTGTCCCTTCTCTTCCTGTTCTATGAAACTCCTCCCACACACCCCCAGCCTGGATTCCAGTAATTTTATCTAGTGTTTCCAACAAATTTGATCAGTTCTAACTGTCTCTGAAAATTAGGCCGTGACAGAGGAACCTGCAGGGGTGAGGGGTGTGGTGCCACTTACCTACCCTCACCTTGAATCGCTTTTCTTGGTTAAGACAGTGAGCGGCAGTGAGGATGTAGAACTCATTCAGGATGGTGCCTCCACAGAAGCCTTCATTGTTCTCCTTGATGAGATGAGCCTGCAATGAGAATGCCAGGGCCAAACAGGTTGAACTTGACTTTCTGAGAAGAGAAATTTGGAATCTGTAATTCAAGCCTTCCTCTTCATTGCTTCTGCCTGGATCAGGGCATCTCCCTCCTATAGCTGGTGTGCCCACCTGAGCCTCCTCCACCCCCTCTCCTGCCCCCGACCCCCACCCCACTGCCCTTTCCAAGGAGAAAGCTGTGGCATCTTCAGACTGGAACACAGGGCCAGAACCACCACACTTACAGTGTTCACCTGACCACTCGGGCTATGGCCCAACATGGCCAGTCCTACAGACCTGAGCTTGCATCACCACACCTGTCCCCCTGGCCATTCAGTCCTAGGCCCTGGCACAGTCTCTCTCCAAGAGGTGGCTCATGGTTGACCCCAGCCCACCTTCCCATCTCCTCCCAACCCACCACTCCCTGATTCCACAGCACGGGTGTGGGCAGCATCTCATGCCTTCTGGTCTTTGCTTTACCCACCAGGCAACAGACCCACTTATTCATTTACTCTACAGACATTTGCTGGGGCCCTACTAAGTGGCCAGTGCTAGCCACTGAGTAGAGTTCTGTCACAATTTATCTACCTTTTCCCCCCTATGGTCTACAAACTCACTCTGACAATGACTAGTCTTTTATTTCTTCTGGTTTTGTCACAGCACTCTCTAAAGAGTTATGCACAGATAAACAATTGTCACTGCGTTGAAGACCTTTATTGTCTCTGTGGCCATGAAGTAGAAGCCAGTCTGTGGACAAATGCTTGCCTACACTGGTGTGACTTGTGGGCTTAGAAGGGATCCACTATTCAAGCCAATCTCCCACAGCTCATGGAAGGCCACTGTCAAGGTTAATTACTGTGGAATCTATGTGCCTACTTCTGTAAGGGGTTTTCACCCTGATTTTGGATTTGGGAGTGAGGAGTATTCCACCTGGGAGTGAGCATTGATGGGGCAAGTGAAAGTCACCACCCAAAATTCTACTATATTTCTTTCCTCCCAAAGAACTGAGCTTGCAAATCCAGAGATGGAGCATTTTTTTCTCCCCTTTATTATGGGAATTCCACATCCTTTAAGCAACAGTTACTGGCTGGGGATATGTGTGGGTAAATGAAACAAATAACATCAAGTTCTAAAAGAATTCTTGAATATGTTCCTGTCTGGAATGTAGTACAGATGTTCCTTGACTTATGATGGGTCACGTCTCAATAAACCCATTGTAAGTTGAAAATATGGTAAGTAAAAAATGCATTCAATACACCTAACCTCCTAAATATCATAGCTTAGCCTAGCCCACCTTAAAGGTCCTCAGAATACAATAGTCAAAGACACTGTGAAGTACTAGTTGCTTACCCTCTTGATCACTCGGCTGGGCTCACTGCCAGCATCAGGAGAGAGTATCATACCGCACATGGAGAACCCGGGAAAGATCAATGTGTATCACTTTTATAACATTGTAAAACTGAACCATTGTAAAAGTCGAACCATCATAAATCAGGGGCCTTCTTTAATGTTTCTTTGCCCTTTTTTTTTTTTTGGTATAATTTATCAACTCTTAATACAACTTGGGTGATGAGTGAGGGCAAGCCAGTCTTTCTAAGACTGGACACCATCTGTTCTTCTTAAAGATGGAGATGGGGAAACTTGTGCAGACTGGAACCAGGAGAGCAAGAATCATGAATCCCCCCTACAGACTCATCGAGGAACCGGCTGGTGAGGATCCTTCTGCCCAGTCCCCTTCCCTGTCCTCTCTGCCCTTGGAGTCCCATCTAAAACTACCCCCAGAGCTGACACCTCCACCCGGTGGGCGCTTGTCCTAGTCTTCCCAGTGGAACTTCGTTCTACACCCACTGGTACCACCTTCGTGGCCTTTATCACATCAACTTGAATTGTGGTCATTTGGATGGACCTCACCTCCCTTCCCAGATCTAGATGTCCACATGTCAGAGAAACAGCTCTGATGATCTCATAGTCTACACACACAACCCCAACTCTATGCCGGACATGCAAGTTCCCCATAAATACACTTGGGGTGAATGATGACTAGATGTTGAAATGTCCTGTATTGGCTCTTGATAATTCAGACAAATGCATAGCTGTCCTGTAGCTTGCAGATGAGGGTGAGCTGAGGTAATTGGCAGCTCTGGGATTTTGCTTGTAGGAGAAGCCATTTTGGCTTTGAGCACTAAAAATGTATTAAGTCCAAGTTAGGATTGCCAGATAAAACAGAGGACATCCAGTTAAATTGGAACCAAATGAATTGCAAATAATTGTTGGTATAATAGCATGTCCTAAGTAATATCTGGTATATACTTACATTACAAATTTTCATTGCTTATCTGAAATTCAAATTTAAGTGGAAGTCCTGTGTTTTTATTTGCTAAATCTGCCAACCTTAGTCCAAATGAACAAAAAAAGGATTTTTTTTTTAACCTTTGGTAACAAATCGATGTATTTTTCTCTAAGGCAGTGGTTCTCAACCTTTTGGCCCTTTAAATACAGTTTCTCATGTTGTAACCCAACCATAAAATTATTTTTGTTGCTATTTCATAACTGTAATGTTGTTACTGTTATGAATCATAATGTAAATATCTGATATGCAGGATGGTCTTAGGCGACCCCTGTGAAAGGGTCGTTCGACCCCCAAAGGGATCACGGCCCACAGGTTGAGAACTGATACCCTAAGGTACTCTCTGGCTCATTAAAATTTAGGTGTTTCAATAAAAAAGTTTTACCAAATTAGAAATGAAACAAGGAGAGTAAATCTTTCTGCCTCCAGTCAAACAGAAGAGCCAGCAGAGACCTCACCCACAATCAGGGGAGCTGCCCTTTACCTGCTCATCCAAGGCCTGAGCTGGCACCCCATCTCTCCTTCTACTGTAGGAGAGGTTTTAGGGCTCAGATCCTGAGCATGGGATGGGAATGGGCAGCAGGGGTGGAGGGTGTAGGCAAGGGCCCAGTTTCTTCTCATCTCAGGTTCCTTCAGCATGGGAGCTCAAAGCCTGCTGAGGGTCCACATGTGTGCGCGGGCGTCATGATCCCGGCCTCGGCCTCCATGACTGTGCCTGCAGGGCCCAGACAGAATGAGTCGCCCATCCAGTTAACTCACTAAACGTGCTCAGCACTTACCTGCCAGGGACACTCGCCATCTTTGCAGTCCCGCCCTCCCACTATCCTGACAAGTGAGTTCTCCTCCTCTGCAGAGCTCGGCTGTGTGTTATTCAAGCCCGGCAGATCAAAAGGGTTTGTAGTTGGATCCAGGTCTCCATTGAAAGGGTTTGTGGTTGGATCCAGGTCTCCATCGAATGGGTTCGTGGTGGGATCCAGGTCTTCACCGTCTTCGGGTGGATCCTTGCTGCTGTCGGCAGTCAGGGACTCCGACCTCCTCCTGCGTGCCAGAGTGAGTTTCCCACAGGGATAAGGCTCTGGAAGAAAAACCAATGGCCTGGGGATTCAGCAAAGTGAAACTCTCCCTGCACCGCATGCACAGTTTATTAGCAGCAGGAGGCATAGGGAGGCCAGAGAGAGAGAGGCTCCGACCCCCAAGGTTATGGGTCGGGTCAGAGGGCCTGGAGAACTGCAGTTGGGGAAGAGTGAAGCGTGTGCTTGGTAACTGGGAAGGATGCGAGGAACTTTTGGGGTGCAGAGTGCCCTGTGTCTTGATCTCGGTGGCATTACAAGGTGGACGTGACTGTCATGATGCAGGGAAAGTGCCCTTCCCGTCAGTGCCCACACTGTGTGTCAGTCTCACCTACAGGACCAGGACCTGCTGCAGACACCGGCTCTGGGGCTGACCAGGATGCTGAAGCATTGAAGGGTCTGTCTATAAGCTACTTGGAAAATGCACCCACATACTACAGAGGCTGACAGTGGACAGAGGACACAGAAGGGCAGGCAGGCGATGAAGCAGGCAGAGAGGTTAATGGCAGAACCCAGGTAGGCACATAGGGGTGCTCACTGTCAAATCCTGTCAACCCTGCTGTGTGTGCGAACATTTTCTAATGAAATACTGTTCTTGTTGTTTTTTTAAATTTAAATTGTTCTTGGAAAAAGGGACAACATATGCAAACAATCTGAGGCATAAGAAGGAGCACTGCACAATACAGCTTTTTATGATAACGTCTAACAGGGATGACTACCCTTAAAATCACCAAGCTCAGGGGAGATGTCAGCTAATACCAGAAAGCTTCCTTTCTGTATTATTACCAACTAAGAAATTGAGGCAGAGAGAGGGGCCAACGCTGGACAGAGAAGGGAGAGGTGTGGAGGCCCATCAGAAAACAGAGGAGAACCAAGCTGGCGACATAGGTAAACACCTGAACTTGCTGCCGCGCACAACCACATTAAAACTACAACTAAAAGACAAAACGAATAGCATCCAGAACCAGAGGAAGGCTGGCTGAGTGGAAATTCTACAACTAGAAGGAAAGAGAAAAGTGCACCGAGTCTGGTAAGAGGTGCAGAGGTGTGGATGTGTGGAGTATGGAGGCACGTGCTAAAGGGGCTGGCAGCTGGGTACGCTGTTGACTTTTGCAACCAGGAGGGAGATACAAGCTCCTGACTGCTCTGAAATCCAGTTCTGGGAGAGAATCTGGGGACCCAGACTCATACGGAGAGAAACTGGACTGTCTGGCATCGGGCTGGAACGTGAGGGTGGCTTTCTCCCAGAGGTGCTTGCAGCATTCATTGTTCCTGCACAGGGCAGAGGGACATATTGACCCAGGGACCTATCGGTGGAGGGCCAATGGCAACCATTGCTGTTTGCACCGCCCCATGACTCCGTGAGACCACCCTCCACCCAGTTTAGAACCCCACCCAAGCTGTGCAGAGGTTTTTGCATACTAATGGCCTGGCCATTCTCTGCCTAAAAACCTGTCAAACTGCACCTGGGTCAAAGAAACCCAGAGCTTCCAAAAGGCCTAAGGCTGTCAGCAGCCTGCATTACTTCACAGCTGTGCCTCATCTGGGCACCTCCAAACCCCTAACAAAGAGGAGGAATCTGCAGATCTCTCTGTAGCTCCTGTTGGGTGGCCTCAGGCAGTGGGTGACTTTGCACCCCCTTGGAGATCCAATAGCCAGTCTACCCAGTGGACAGAATGAGACCATCCAGACTACAACTCTTAACATCCATAAGAGACACACTCAGGTGGCAGACTCAGTGAGCACCAAAGCCCCACTGAAGCAAGTCCTGCCCCATAAGGGTGTCTCCAGCACAGCAGTTCTCCCATTGTAGACACAACTGGTCCCCACAGCCAATTGACCTGCAGGTCAATTCCTCCAAGTGACACCAACAGCAATCAAGGCTTAACTACAACAAGACTGTGCACACAGCCCACAAAGGGGTGCACCAAGAGTGTCCACCTCAGATATTTAGGGAGGCCGAGCAACTGGGCCTTATAGGACACCTAGCACAGAAAGCCACTCTATCAACACAGGGAAGCAGCCAAAATGTGGAGACAAAGAAACAGGTCACAAATGGAAGAAATGGAGGAAAGCAAACTACTGGATATAGAGTTGAAACCACACTTCTAAGGTTTTTCAAGAATTTTCTAGAATCTTCCGAGAGATATAGTGAGACCCTCAAGGATATGAAAAAGGACCAATTAGAAATTAAGCATACACTGACTGAAATAAAGAATATACAGAGATCCAACTAGAGGGTCCCAAGAATCAAGTCAAAGATTTGAAATACGAAGAAGCATAAAACA